GGTCCCTAAGCCACATGCTTGGTGTTTAATTAAACAGAAGAGGGAGATGTTGAGAGCCACAAGCCGAGTCAGAATGGCCCCTGGCATTTTGCCAGAAGGAGTGGTTGAGAGGTGACTGCCAGGGAGCCATTAAGATGAAGATAATTAAGTTAAGCTGTGTATAATTGCTGTGACTGGATGATGCTGGATTGAAACAGGCTGTGTATTCAGTTGTATATGGGCCCCTGCTCTCTGGCAATAGGGCTGCCCCAGAATAGGGCGCTACTTTTGAGTTCCCGTTGAGTTCCGGTTGAGCTCTCGCGGGATTCAAGGAGTTCCTGTTTGAACCTACAAGTGCCTGTGGGCGGCTCCGTTATTTTGTGCCCAGCCAGACTGCGGCAGTGAGAGCCTGCTGGGAGTGATACTGGGGACCAGGATGTGGAGGGAGGGTGCTGAGAGGCTGCCACGCTTCTCCAGGGAGGCCAGGATGCACCGCTGCAGCACTACCTGTCCTTTGGAGCTGAATCAGGGTCTCCTCAGTGCCCAGTGTGTCCCTAGTCCTCTTATCTTTTCTTTTGGAGTCTTGCTAAGTTGCTGAGGGTCTCACTAACCTGCCAAGGCTGGGCTTGACCTAGTGATCCTCCTGCCACCACGCCACCCCACAGGGCCTCTCAACCCGTGTCTGCTCAGACCCTACTCCCTGGCGTCACGTGGGGCTGAGGATCTCCACTTGGGCCTACTGCAGACAAGGCAGGGAGCAGACACTTGCCCCCGAGGGCCCCCAGAGCTCCCCGCCCTTGGGGACCTGCGCCCACAGGAGCCACCCTGGCCCCACCCTAGGTCATCCACTGGGGAAGACAGGAGATCCTGAAGGTGACAGCATGTCCCAGAACCATCTGCACCTCAGGCCTCCTCCCTGAAACGGGGAGCAGGGGAGCAGGCCGGGAGCTGCGCTGCTGGGGGAGCAGGCACCCGGCTGACCTGTCCCTCCAGGGGCGCCTCAGTCTGCCTCGAAGCTACAAGCTCACCCCCGGCCACTGGCCTGAGTGGCCCTCCCAGGAACACAGCTCACCCAGAGGAGGTGTGTCCTGTGTTTCCTGGACACAGACGGCATTTCGGGGGGTCAGAGAGAGACAGCTGGCGACCCCTCCTAGCCACCTCTCTGGATGAGTTGGCACCAAGCCACCAGTGGAGGGCCTCGCCCAGGCTTCCTGGCATTTGGCAGCAAAGACAAACAGAGCCCCACCTCAAAGTCCAGCTCTGAGACCCGTGAGTCACCACTTATCAAGGCGGCCAGGGAGTTAGGGGCCTCGCCCTGTTCACGCCCCGCCCAGACGTCTCAAGCTGCCTTGGCAGAGTGGTCAGGAGAGAAAAAGTGCCCTTCCGTGAGCACACTGTGCCCACACTGTTTCCAGGCAGCAGGAAACTGGGCTATTTTCTGTTTCTCGAGTTTTCTGGCCTTCTGTCAACCAAGATTAGGAAAAATAGTCCAGCTGGGTCTACATTTATGAAGGTCACTTTAGACTAACATGGGAACAGCTGCCAGGCGCTCTCCTGTGGAGCCGAGGGCCATGTGCCACCAGTTCCGCTGTTTGCTTTCTCTGGGAAACAGAACGTCTTGTCAGAGAAGATAAGGGAGGCCCGGTCGGCTGAGGCACACTGGCCGGCACCTCCTGCTGCACCCCACGACACCCCTCTGCTCACTCCTTAAGCTCTTCTCTGCCCCTCCACACACAAAGGCCCCTCAAACCACTGCTGTCTGCTCACACACAGGCAGGTCTCGAGTGCCCCCAAAGGCAGGGAGTTATTTTTAGTTTGGGCCACACTGAGTTACAAGCGCCTTTTCTTAAGGAATTGGAAACTCCAAGCAGATGCTCCACCAGGCAGTGGTAGCAGACCCTCATAACAAGACCCTGCATCACCACACTCCGGCCCCAGCCCCCTGGTCGCTCCATATTCCTTTCTTTCAAAACTGCAGAGAAAAGTGGATGAATGACGGCATTCACCAATTAGGTGACAATACCACATGAAAACAGAACAGAATGGCCCAGAGAGCAGAGCCATCATCACACAAAACAATCCACAATCAGTCGTGCTGGACGCCTGCCCTCCATCCACCTTCCCCGCTTCTTCACACGGAGCAGGGGACCCAGAAATCCTGCACACGCATGACCGCAGAAGTCCCTGGCAGGTGTGCTGGCAGGGAGCCCAGGCCACATGGAGGAAAACAGGGAGAGCCTGGTGCAGTAGTAGCACCCGCCTCCCCAGGGCACCAGGGAATGAGGACTGGGACAAGCAGGTTGGAACGGCTCCCCGTGGAAAAGGACCGGCCAACAGAGCACACAGCGAGGCTCAGCACACAAGGAAGCCACTCACAGCCTCTTCTCACTCCTCCTGTCCCTCCCAGGCTGACACTCTTCCCTGCCATCTCTGGACACAGGAAACAGCCATCCCCCGGCCCCACTCAGGGCATCTGGCTTCCAGGCTGAGCCCAGGCTGAGCTCTTCTCCACACAGCCCAGTCCTGCCCAGGAGCACCAGGCCCAGGGCCAATGGAGCCCAGGACCACAGGCAGAGGGCAGGGCTGCAGGCCGGGGGAGGGGCAGGCTGCTCATGGCCAGGCCAGCACACAGCCCAGAGCTCCGACCCCAGCAGGCAGAGATACTGCTGTGGAGGAAGGAACCTGTGGTTTAAAAATAAACAACCACATTCACAAAGCCAGCAGCTCTGCTCTTGCTGCTCTGCTCTCCAGCTCTGCGTGGGCTCACTGGTGAATGGAAGCCTGTGTGGACATAGGGAGGCCAAAACAAAGGGCCACAGAACAGGCAGTGTCCTCCCAGCGAGGTGCCTCGGGAGGCTGAAAGCTGACTCTCCAGGAACATCTTCATGAAGGCTGCTCTGTGCAAAAGAGATCTGTGTTTCTCCAGGGAAAGGGGTAGGGTCTTCATATGCCTGTCCCTTCAACTCGGAGGCCACCTGATTAGGATCACAGACCAGCTCCATGAAATGCAGGATGGCCCTTTATATCCAGGGAGAATCTGGACAAGAGGAAGTCCTGAAGTCCCAGAGAAAGGTGGCGGTGGGGGTGTCAGGGAGCAGAGGAACCCCAGGATGTGAGTGCACGAAGAGAGGACAGTCCTGCCTGGCACAGCAGTGCGGCCTTGGCAAGCTGCACCAGGTCATTAGAAAGGGGTGACCAGGGGCTGGGGTTGTGGCTCAGCATAGAGCATTGGCCTAACATGTGCAAGGCCACTGGGTTCGATCCTCAGCACTACATAAAAATAAATAAATTAAATAAAGTTTAACGGGGAGGGGGGGTTCATGCCACAGCCCCCACTGTCCAGCCCTGACTCCTCAGTTCAGTCTCACAGACCTTAACCATCAGAGAGGCTGCAAAACAGCAGGCGTAGGCCAGGAAGGTGAAGCAGTTAGGGAAGGGGGTCCTCTGAGGACAGAAGGTGGGGGGGGTGCTGCGGACAGCCTTTCTGAAGGCAGCGCTCTGCACGGTGGCTCAAGGCACTGAGGATAAACCCAGATGGGGCTCTAGTGGCCCTGGTCCTCTCAGGAGCTCCTCCACTGTGCAAAGGAGAGCCCCTGGAAGCCCTCAGGCCAGGGCTTCCACACAGGAGCAGTGGGTCCCAGTCTTGGGGGCTCTGCCTCAGTTCTCCCTACAGGGCTGTCGGATGCGACAGAGCAGAGGTGGGCTCTCCAGCCGCCTGTCCTGGAGCTCCAACCTGAGGCCAGGTCTTCACAGGGACGTGGCTGGCCAGATTTAAGGCTGCCGCGCAATCTTCAGTTGTGTCATTATTTGGAACATGAGGTTGGCGTGACCATGACCAACCAAGGTCCGGACAGCAAAGAAAAACACAGCAGCGGCTGCCTTTTGCGGGTGGATGTGCTCCGCCATGTCTGGAGAGGCATCCCAAGAATCCTGCGGCACCCGAGCAGGTGCTGGGGGTCAGCCCTGGGGGAGGGGCAGAAGCATACTGCCAGGGCTGTTTCCAATTCTGGGGAATATGGAGGCTGCATCTGAGCCCTGGAGAGCTTGGAACAATCCTGAGGAAGTCCGGGCCCTTCTACTGTCCCACAAAGAGATTGTCCCAACATCAGTCACACCACCCCAAGCTGGAGGAAAAGGAAATGTCCCCACAGCACCCAGTATTTCCAGGTGAGCTCTAGTCCTGCTGATCCCACTGTGCTTGCCCACGACCACACTGCGGCCCTGGGCACAGCTGGCCACTTTCCCTCCTCCTGGGCTTGGTCTCTGGCTCTCTGCTCCCCTCAGCCACTTCCCCCTTCTGGGTTGTGGTTGGATATGATGGTCTGACAATTACAAGGGGAAAGAGGTCTGTGCAGGACAGCCCTGGCTCATCCTGTGAGGGTGGCCTTCCTGGGACTCGGTAGGATGGGCCCGGGTCAGCTGGTCCTGGATCTCCCTGACCTGCCACGCACAGCCACCAGCATGTGGAGACAGGCAGCTGGGCAAGCATGAAGTGAGACAGCAATCAACACAGTCCAGTAAGAGGCAGCCGCAGCAAGGAGGCCTGGGACAGAGACCGAATGTGAGGGACTGGAACCTGCTAGCCCTCAGGACTCTGCCGTGGTGAACAGGAGCCTCCTAACTGTGAAGGAGGCCAACTGGTCATGATGTGAGACCAGAAAAGGCCGGGGGACAAGGGAGCTGCGGCTAGTGGCCAGCCCGTGCCCTGGGAGACCCCTGCCACTTCAGGCTGCGGTTTTTGTGTGCCTGGGTTTGGATGGCTGGAGCAGTCCTGGAGAGCAGGTGGGCCCAGAGTGGGAAAAAGGAGCGGGGTCCCCAGGGAGCTGGGGGGGTCGGGGCTGGTCTCAGACCCCTCTCCGCTGGACTTGTGACTGCGCACTCTCCTCCAACACGGACGCAACTGCTGTAATCCACTAGTGTAGTAATTCTGGCCTCCAGGCCGCCCGCAAACATGGGCTTTACCGCAAATCTCCTTAACAAGATCACCGGGAGGGAGGCGCCCTGTAGGGAAGGACTTGGGTCCGCCCTCGCCCCCTGTCGCCTTCCCTGCTCCTTCCGCGTGTCAGGGAAGGAAAATGTCCCTGGGATCTCAGCCGCGCTGACGGAAGATTCGCGTTGGAAGGCAGAACAGCGCGGTGGCTGGAGAGGCCAGGGGC